TTGGTGGTGGGGGGGGGGGGGGGGGGGGGGGGTAGGGACCCATTACTGGAGTTATGCTTAAATCAAAAGCAGTTTTAGAAGTAATAATAGCAAACTGCACACATACAACAGTGTAAGTCATCCGGCATTTTTACATTTACGAAGTCTATAATGCAACAGGAAACGTTCTGGGGGTGGGGTGTGTATGGTATATAGATGGGCTTGAACCAAACTCACCTGTATATGGCAGAGTACACAGACAGCTATATCCGGCAATGCCATCCACACACGTTCCTCCATTCAGGCAAGGAGCTGGGGCACACTCATTAATATTAGTCTCACAAAAGTTACCTGTATGGGAAGAAGAATATTTGAATACACCAAATGTGACATAAAAGGATGATGGATGCAAAGAGAACCCACCAAGGATAGGCATTTGTAGTAATCTTAAGCTCTACTCTTAAATCGGTATAGTAGCATAACCCTGTCTCTCAGGCATAGTAGTCTGTCCTGTTATTAAGGTTCACCACACACGTCCCAATCTGTCTGCACAACCTCCTTTAAGATGTAGTGCAAGGACCTGCCTGACTTGATACTGATTAATTGGTTAGATTAGGTAGGTCCTCATATTACATGGAGTGGATCCTCAGACTGGAATCCATTGTGGGCTGCTGTGCTGTAAAGAAGCTCCATCCACATGTGCATTGCTTGTATAGCTCCCATGCGTGCCGTAGAGGTGTCAGGAGCCAGAATGTGAGGTCACTCAGGTCCAGGCACCTCTACAGGACACGCAAGGGAGCAGTAAGCAATGCACGTATGGATGGAGCTCCCTCGCGGCCATAGCCCCAGCCCACCCCACCTCAAGCTGACACTCGGTGGATGGACCTCCCTTGTGGCCATAGCCCCAACCTACCCCAAGCTGACACTCGGCACCGGGCAGCAAATTTTGAATGGCTGCTTAGTGCGAGAACTGACTGTGCTGCGCTAGGAGGAGGCAGAGGAGCCTCTCACCTAGAAAAGTGGAAGGTATGCGGCGACCCACTGAACACGGGGTCACAACCCACCAGTTGAGAACCAAGGCGTAAAGGGTCAGTTCACCTTTATAATAAAATTTGCATTACAGTCAGGAGGCCCCAATAGCTGACAAACCGTGGTGCTGTGTAGAGAAATTGAGCTTTCTGCACCTAAAGACCATAGCAGCACGCATTCAAACCGCACATGTGTTAAGAGTACAATAATTATTATTACATAGTATTTATATAGTGCGAACAGTTTGTGCAGCACTTTACAATGTAAGGAAGACATTACAATACAATTCAGGACAAGATGGTAAGGAGGGCCCTGCACCTGGGGGCTTACAATCTAAAAGAGGAGGGGGAAATGATACATGAGGAGGGAGCTGTGAGGGGATGAATTATTTGAGAATGTGATGGTTCAGTGGTTAGGTTGAGGTGGGATAGGCTTCCCTGAAGAGATGAGTCTTTAGGTAGGGAATGCCTAAAGACAGTCAAGGTGGGAGATAGACAGACAGGTTGGGGTAAAGAGTTCCAGAGGATGGGAGAGACTCTAGAGAAGTCCTGGAGGCGAGTATGGGAGGAGTTGACTAGGGAGCTGGAAAGCAGGAGGTCTTTGGATGAGCGGAGTGGACGGTTAGGGTGATATTTTGAGACAAGGTCTGAGATATATCCGGGGGCAGAGTTGTGGACGGCTTTATAAGCGACTGTTAATATTTTTAATTTTATCCTTTGGATGAGTGGAAGCCAGTATAGGGATTGGCAGAGGGGGGTTGCAGACACTGAGCGGTTGGTCAAGTGGATGAGTCTGGCAGCTGCATTCATGATAGACTAAAGGGGGGATAGCCTGTGTAGTGGAAGGCCAATGAGGAGGGAGTTGCAATAGTCAAGACGAGATAATAATGTGAATAATGTGACGAGAGAATAATGTGTGCTGTGTTTCAGCCCTAAAGGATAAGCTGACTTATGAAAGATTTTTGACTGGCCCAATATCTGCAATACATTCGTCTTTGTAAAAACTCAACCTGAAAAAAATGACTTAAGTTTAAGTGGCGACTTTACCTCGGAAGCCCTCCCGGCAGCGGCAGACTGGTCGTCCAAGATGGTCAGTGCAACTTCCTCCATTCTGACAGGTGCTGGCAGTACAAACGTCACTGCTCCGCCGGTCACACGACCGGCCGGACCAGCCCTGGTGACATTCGCATGCATATCTAAGACAAGGACAAACACCAAGAGCATAGATTAAGGAATGTGCAAAGTTAAAGAAATACCAGCTCAAAACTAGTTAAAAACTAACCACACACAACCGAGAGTCACTAAAAATGATTCCTATGGACAGAAAGTGTTGGAAAAGCGCCATTTACATGGGTTATGTTTATTTCTCAACGTTGATTTAAATAATAAGTTAGTGGAAGCAAACCAAACAAATCCATACAGAAAAGAAGACTATGCTTTACAAAGAAGTTTCCAGGATGATATCCCGGCAGTACTTACACCTCATTGACTTTGCGGCACACACCATGGAGACACGTAGGAGTGCATAGCTGGGTGGGGTTACACAGAGAGTCGCGGGGTCCACCACCCTCAGGACAAACACAGCGGAAACCATTCTGTGTCACCTGACAGACTCCCCCAGATCGACATGGGTTGGATGCACATGGAGACACCTCTATGTTACAGAGCGGACCTAGAAGAGACAATATTGGAACGGCATTAACACATGATCAGGAAAGCATCCTGGTGTGCACCACAGAGAGGGTTCAGTCAATTTATAGGACTTATTGGAGATACCAAAACTGGGTGACTCCATTATAGTGGTCATGACTCAAACCAAAGTCTGGAAAATAAAGATGGGGTGGAGAGAGAGAGAAACAAAAAGAGGGAGAGAGGAAAAGAAGAAAGAGGGGAAAGCACGGGAGAAAGGGAGGAGAGGGAAGGAAAGAGATGGGGTGGAGAGGGAAGGAAAGAAAAGGAGTGAGAGGGAAGAAAAAGGAAGACAAGGGAAGGAAGACGAGGGAAGACGAGGGAAGGAAGACGAGGGAAGGAAGAAAAAGGAAGACGAGGGAAGGAAGAAAAAGGAAGACGAGGGAAGGAAGAAAAAGGAAGACGAGGGAAGGAAGGAAAGAAAAGAGGGAAGGAAGGAAAGAAGGAAAGAGAGAGGGAAGGAAGGAAAGAAGGAAAGAGAGAGGGAAGGAAGGAAAGAAGGAAAGAGAGAGGGAAGGAAGGAAGGAAGGAAAGAGAGAGGGAAGGAAGGAAGGAAGGAAAGAGAGAGGGAAGGAAGGAAGGAAGGAAAGAGAGGGAAGGAAGGAAGGAAAGAGAGGGAAGGAAGGAAGGAAAGAGAGGGAAGGAAGGAAGGAAAGAGAGGGAAGGAAGGAAGGAAAGAGAGGGAAGGAAGGAAGGAAAGAGAGGGAAGGAAGGAAGGAAAGAGAGGGAAGGAAGGAAGGAAAGAGAGGGAAGGAAGGAAGGAAAGAGAGGGAAGGAAGGAAGGAAAGAGAGGGAAGGAAGGAAGGAAAGAGAGGGAAGGAAGGAAGGAAAGAGAGGGAAGGAAGGAAGGAAAGAGAGGGAAGGAAGGAAGGAAAGAGAGGGAAGGAAGGAAGGAAAGAGAGGGAAGGAAGGAAGGAAAGAGAGGGAAGGAAGGAAGGAAAGAGAGGGAAGGAAGGAAGGAAAGAGAGGGAAGGAAGGAAGGAAAGAGAGGGAAGGAAGGAAGGAAAGAGAGGGAAGGAAGGAAGGAAAGAGAGGGAAGGAAGGAAGGAAAGAGAGGGAAGGAAGGAAGGAAGGAAAGAGAGTGAAGGAAGGAAGGAAAGAGAGTGAAGGAAGGAAGGAAAGAGAGTGAAGGAAGGAAGGAAAGAGAGTGAAGGAAGGAAGGAAAGAGAGTGAAGGAAGGAAGGAAAGAGAGTGAAGGAAGGAAGGAAAGAGAGTGAAGGAAGGAAGGAAAGAGAGGGAAGGAAGGAAGGAAAGAGAGGGAAGGAAGGAAAGAGAGGGAAGGAAGGAAAGAGAGGGAAGGAAAGCAAGAAAGAGGGAAGGAGAGAAAGAGCAAAAGGAAAGCAAGAAAGAAAGACCGAAAGAAAAAGAGAAAAATAAAGTGAGAGAAAAAAATATAAATTGAGGAAGGAAAGAGAAAGAAAAGAACACAATTTTATTGTCAGTCGAGATTAATAAGAAGCAACCAGCAGATATCAGCGGATGTAAAAACTACAACACCCAGCATGAGGTCAGCCAAAGAGCCCAATATGCATGCTGCAACTTGCAGTTCTTCAGTGTCCAGAGATCTGCTGCTTGTCCATTTATGGCCTTAGACCTCTTTCCACTACCAAGCCCTTCCACTTCTTTAATGTCCTACTATGTTGTTTTTTCCCCCCAAACACCATCTGCTCTTTATTAAAAAGATCTTCCATCTACCACTGGCTGACCATTTATGGTTCTCAGAACGGAGAGAGATATGTTGTTGTTGTAAGAAGAAAAAAAATAGATCTTCCTCCATTAGCACAGAAATAGATTTAGGAAAACATAGTTCAGTCCAGGAAAAGCGCCCGGAGCATGAACTGACAGTCTGTCCCCGACACTGAAATAACCAGCCGAGGGGTCAACCAGCATCAGCTGTGTACACATCACACCAGTGCAGCTGGCAGCTAGAAGTGTCCATCTCCCCCTGGCATCTCATCGGTGCATTGCCAGACCAAGTCCATACATGACCGGTCCTTGTACTGACTAAAGATTGGTCGACTTTCACAAGCTATAGAACAGGTGGCGTCAGTCTACTGTGAAGGTGGTCTCAGACTGGTCACCATTATGCCGGTCACCATGTATGCTCTGCAGTCTAATGTTAACAATTTCTGGGAGTTTGGCCATTTTGTAGACAATATTGTGTAGACAGAAATCTGCTCCTGCATGGTCAACCCGGCCAGGTGTCACCTAGCCTCCCCTTTGTTTTGTACTGTTTAGGCCTCATTCTCACAGGATTCGGCCGCCACCTACAGCTCCGTACTGCGTGCACGGCCGTATCGGGCAGCTCCCGGGAAAGACAGGTGCTGCGTGTGATTAGAACGCAGCCCCCGTCCTTCTCTATGGGACTACATGGCCACACGCCCCCCTCAAGTGCACGTCCGTGCGGGTGCGTTTCCTGGCTCGGATGCAGACAGGATCCATCCTGTCAACGTACGAGTACGCTCACCTGCACGGACGTGCAGGGCGGGTGAGCGTAGGGCGGCGTACGGCCGCACAGTCCCCCATAGAGAAGGACAGGGGCTGCATACTAATCACACGCAGCACCTGTCCTTCCTGGGAGCTGCCCGATACGGCCGTGCACGCAACACGGAGCTGTACGTGCCGGCCGATTCCCGTGTGAATGGGGCCTTAATGTACCTTTGGATGCTTTTTATTATATCTGTATAAAACAAACCTGTTGATCTTGTCAAAAATTCACAGCTGTCCCGTGTCCTCTGCACATTTCCTGTGTTATCTCAAAGTGCCCTCTTCCTTCTTATCATGGACTACAGAATGATTAACCTTTATGTTGTGGCATCGCTTCATTA